AGCGACCCCTCCCTGGGTTGCCGAGGCGGTATCACTACGGAAGTGGATTGTCCAACCTTCCTTCCGAGGAGTGGCTGGTGGGTTTGAACAGCCAGCCTTCTGGTTAGCAGTCAGATGCCTCAGGCACTACGCCCCCAGAGCTCCATAACCTCTCCAGCGGACACCAAAATCCGCAACACTCAAGACCCTCATATGAAATGACGTAGTATTTGCATAAACTCCACACATACTCCTCTGTACTCTCAATCACCTGTAAATACCTAATATGACTTAACTGTACACAAACAACACTTCACTTCCCCACTTAGCCTCTGAGGGACTGTTTCTACCACTTAATACCCACCCTTTTTTGAACATTTCAGTCCGTGGGTGGTTGACTCACAGACACGGGCCCATGGATACTGAGGGCCAACTATAGAACCTTTTGCCTTTCAAAAATGGAATTACATCATGGGAGAGGGAAGGGCTGCTTATGCACAGGGAGACAGCTCAGGGTGCAGAAGAGTATGAGGGGATGGACACTGGGAGGAGGTGACTATGGGGAGGAAGTGGGAGGGGAGCTGTTGCATAATAAATTTTGGTCAATGACATGAGACAAGGTGTATGTGAACTGCTGTATGAAAAGTGAATTTACTCTGTAAATCTTCACCCAAATCCAAAAAAAATTAAAAAAAAAAAAAAGGAATTACAGCCAGCGGCTTTTTTTTTTTCCCAACCCAACTGGAAGCAGCTGTGCTTCTCCCCTACCATAAAGCAGCACAGGCCGGACCGGGAGAGAACCCCGACAGCCCAGCCCCCTCCCCAGAAATGACGAGTGGGAGCAGCTGGCTGTTTTCCTTCAGGCTTTGTTGGAGGAACGTGGATGGATACTGTCTGCGTACGGAGTCTGGCTCCACGTCCCCGCCGGCCCCTAGACGGGAGCAGCTTTCTCTCCTGATTATAAGATGGTAAGGGCTCATTTTGAGGAGCCGTCCAATGGAAAACACGAAGGAAGGGGCACCGCCCACGATGCTGCTGACGGAGCCAGCACCCGCGAAGCTCCGGGCTCTGCTCACCTGCAAAGCAGGTGTGTGGAGTGCACCCAACGGGAGTCAGAGGTGCTGTGAAACGTGCTTTGTTTCCTTAATGCAGTGGTGGCGATTTCCAGGGTATGAGCCAGAACTCCAAGGAGCCCTAGGGGCACAGCGGTTAAGCACTTGGCTGCTAAATGCAAGTCTGAACCCACCAGCCGCTCTCCTGGAGAAAGGGGAGGCAGTCAGCTGCTGTGAAGATTGACAACCTTAGAAACCAATGGTGCAGTTCCACTCTGTCCTCTAGGGGCGCTGTGAGTTGGAATGGACTCCACAGCAGTGGGTGTGGTTTGGGCTTTGCTTCTATGAAGATTGACAGCCTAGGAAACTAATGGTACACTTCCACTCTGTCCTCTAGGGGCGCTGTGAGTCGGAATGGACTCCACAGCAGTGGGTGTGGTTTGGGCTTTGCTTCTGTGAAGATTGACAGCCTCGGTGACCCTGTGGTGCAGTTCCACTCTGTCCTCTAGGGGCGCTGTGAGTCAGAATCGACTCCACGGCAGTGGGTTTGGTTTGGGCTTTGCTTCTGTGAAGATTGACAGCTTTGGAAACCCTGTGGTGTGGTTCCACTCTGTCCTCTAGGGGCGCTGTGGGTCAGAATGGACTCCACGTTTGGGCTACGGGGGTGTCTTGATCAGGAAGCTGTGGATAGAACCGTGCTCTTAGCTGGCATTGACTCGTGGTGACCAACAAGGTCAAGTGCTGCCTGTCCTGAGCCAGCCCCGTGATCAGCTGTGAGCTGGGCTGCTGGGTCCAGGGTTCTCCCTGGCTCATTGCTGTAAATAGATCACCAGGCCTTTCTTCCTCCTCCATCTTACCCTGGAAGCTGTGCTGAAACGTGGTCAGCATCGCAGCGACACACAACACACAAGCCTCCCCTGATGGACGTGAGGTGCACTGGGCCAGGAATCGAACCGGGGTCTCCCGCGTGGAAGAGAAGAATTCTACCCCTCAACCACCACCGCCCTCCGTTAAAGCTCGTTATCCCGGAAAGCCTGCTCCTCCCCGGCCCTGCTGGCGCTGTTGGAACTGTCAGCGGGGCTGACGCTCATCGTAATAAAAAAATAGCAGTGGATGTTAGAGAAAAAGCTGAGCAAAGGGCAGGCCTCCGGGTCGGCCTGCAGTGGAGCCAGGCCTGGCTGCCGCTGGGGTGACCTCTGCGCGGGGGCAGGGCATGAATGGGGGAGGGGGAGGCCTCGCCTCGGGGCCAGGCAGGCGGCAGCAGGCCTGGCGACTGTACCTGTGTTGTCGGGCATGGTGGCCTGATCGGTGTTCCGTTCTTTCCTCAGGACGATGTTGCCAAACTGGAGAACGGCCGAGACCATCCGCAGCATGGCTAAGGGAGAGCACAAAGAGGGTCACCAGGGGGAGCATGGGAGGGAGGACCAGGTGAAGAATTCGGCAGCGGTCAGGCAGTGAAAGTACCTGGCACGAAGCCTTGATTCAGAATCCACGCCCTACCCCCATACCACGCCCACACCCAGGCCCCGCCCCCGCAACACGCCCACACCCAGGCCCCGCCCCCGCAACACGCCCACACCCAGGCCCCGCCCCCGCAACACGCCCACACCCAGGCCCCGCCCCCGCAACACGCCCACCCCCGGCCCCCCCCCCCAAACATACCCCCCACCAAGGCTCCGCCCCCACAACAAGCCCGCAACTCAGGCCCCACCCTATGACACGCCCACAACTCTGGCCCCGCCACCACCACACACCCACAACCCGGCCTGACCCCCATAACAGGTCCACGACACACCCACAACCCAGGCCCTGCCCCACCACACGCCCACAACTCAGACCCCTGCCCCCACGACGTATCCGCAATCCATTCCCTGCCCCACGACACGCCCACAAGGCAGGGTGCACTTCCATGATAGGAGCACACCTCAGGCCGGGTTCCCAATGGGCCTACAACCCAGCCCCACCCCCATGATACGCCTACAACCGAAGCCTCACTCGCACCATATGCCCACAACTCAAGCCTCACCCTCGTGATTCACCCACAACTCGGGCCCTGTCCCCCACCTCTAATATTCGGAGACAAGACCTTATGTCAAAAGGCACAGGGCTGCACAACTCAAAGGATGACCCCAAGGTCAATGCTGCGTGCAGACCGTTGTTAGTGATGTATCACACTTAGGGGGACCATCTAACCCAGCAGCCCATTCCCGGTATACAGTCAGAAGCGAAGGCAGAACGCCGCGGAGACGCCCATAGCCATGTTCGCGGCAGCTCCTTCCAGAATCACCAAGAGGTGGGAACTAGCCATTGTCCGTCCGTGCAGAATGGATACACAAAATGCGTTCCGTCCACACAACGGACCACCACTCAGCCTCAGAGAGAAATGAAGTCCTGCTGTCCACGACATGAATGAACCCTGGAAACATGCTGAGTGAAACAAGAGTCACCAAGGGGCAAACACGGCATGATCTCACTTACATGCAATAAGCAGAAAGAAGCCAAAGATGATTACTGGTTACCAGGGCTGAGAGGGAGGGAAAAGGGGGCATTTTTGCTGAGAGGACAAGGAGTTTCTACTAATGGTTATGGCACAGTGAAGGACTTAATATGGCCCTCCTAGCCATGGATATTTGTGACTCCCACCAAATGCCTGGGTGGGAATATGTAAATGAGGTGCTTGGTCCACCAATGGGATTGGATAGCTTGCTAATAATGCAGTGGGGGCGGGGCCATGCAAATAAAGTGCATGGAACCCTAACAAGGGGATTGATTATCCTTCTAGGCTTAAAATGGCCCAATCCCAGAAGGGAAAAGGGGGCCTTCATGACCTACAGTGGAGTAGGGCCCATCCTTGGGACCCAGGGTCCCTGTGCTGAGAACCTCCTTGACCCAATACAGAGACAGCTGTAACACAGGAGACAGCGTGACCCAGCGAGAAGTGGAGGCAAGTCTGGCAAAGAAATGGCAGCAGCAGACTCAGGAGATGGGCACGAGATGGCGGTGGGATGAGGCAGTAACAGCAGGCCTGCTGACCCACGGCTTGAGGAGCCAAGCACACCAGGCAGGCTTCCTGGTGGAGTGGGCTGCCTCCAGGCACTTGCCAGCTGAGCCAAAGGAAGAGCTGTGAACATCTGGCCAAGCAAGGCAGAGGCCAGACCGCGGGGTGGAGAGCCAGGGCCCAGGCCTGGGCAGGTCCCGGTGACAGAGATTGCCTCCTGGCACAGCTGGGGAAGCAGCTGTCCTGCCCAAAGAACTGTGTCCTTCGCAGCACCTGCTACTTCCCTAATAAACTCCATACTCGTGAGTACTGTGCGTTCACTGCAATGAATTGTTGAACGCAGCAGAGAAGTAGAGAGAGCTGTGGGAGGGGCAGCTGGCAGCAGACTTGGTAAAAGGTTGAAGGGAGGAGGTATGGCTGACCCTTGCCTCATAGGAATCAGCCTTGGGCAAATGATCCTGATTCTCTCTCTTCCCCCTGAAGTCAGACAAGGGCTGGAAAAGGGTATCGGGAACAGTTGCACCATTGGAAGAATGCAATTGATGTCACTGAATTGTACACACAGAAACTGTAGAAATGGTTATGTTTTGCCACTGATTCCAGCTCACAGCGCCCCTAGAGGACAGAGTGGAACTGCATCACAGGGTCTCCAAGGCTGTCAGTCTTCACAGAAGCAAAGCCCAAACCACACCCACTGCTGTGGAGTCTATTCCGACTCACAGCGCCCCTAGAGGACAGAGTGGAACTGCTCGATAAGGTTTCCAATCTTCACAGAAGCACACTGCCTCATTTTTCTCTCATGGAACAGCTGGTGGGTTTGAACCACCAACTTCTTGGTTAGCTGCCAAATGACACCAATGGCAGATGCTAATAACAGGAGCAACAGCGTGCAGGGGGAGAGGAGACATATGGAAACACTTGGTACTTTCTGCTCAATTTTTCTGTAAACCTAGAACAGCCCCAGAAAAGAGTCTATTTTTAAAAAGAAGTCAGATTCCCGATTCATGATCTTAACTAGTTCCTTTAGAATTTAGATTGGAAACACTAAATCAGTTATGTCTGCAGCTTAAGGTCCTCTGTAACACTGGGGTGCCCTGAAGACACAGGACCAGGCAGTGAGTTCCAGCTCATGCCATTCCACGATCGGCTGCGAATCCGACTGTCGTGATCCACAGGGCTTCCATTGGTTGATTTTTGGAAACCTCACAATAATTCTGGGCTATTTTGTGTCTGAGATTTGTTTTAGTGCCATTCGATGTCTGCTCGCGTTGTCTATTTTGTAAAATGATATAAAAAATGCAAAGGCAAACACTACCCTGGAGTCCGACCTGACTCATAGCGGCCCCTCCTTGGGTTTCTGAGGTGGTATCGCTACGGAAGTAGATTGTCCAACCTTCCTTCCGAGGAGTGGCTGGGGGTTTGAACCGCCAGCCTTCTGGTTAGCACTCAAATGCCTTAGGCACTGTGCCACCAGAGTGCCTATAAAATGATATATATTAAGACTAGAGGGCATTTGGGAGCCCTGGTGGGCTCTCCATGGGTGGTTCCACTCTGTCACGTGAGGTCGTATGAATTGGAATTGACTCAACAGCACCCAACAGCAACAAGTGCATGGTGGCTTACAGCGATATGGCAAGATGTCTAAAACGCTGAGTGAAACACACAAGATGCAGAGGGGTGCGTATCTGGGTTAACAAGGACATAATTCTATTTTGCAAGTGGGCAGTGCTGCCCCCTAGAGCCTGTGTGAGGAACTTCTATGGGCTTGGTTGCCATAACTTAAATGAGCAGGACTGCCCCCTAGAGGATGTTGCAGGAACTTGTATGGATTTAGCTGACTTAACAGAAGTGGGCAGTACCGCCCCCTAGTGCCAATCATAGGAACCTGTAGGGGTGAGTTGTCATAACGTGGGCACTGCTGCCCCCTAGAGCCCATCTTAGGAACTGTAAGGGGTTGGTTGTCCTAATGTGAGCACTTCTGCCCCCTAGAGCCCGTCTTAGGAATTGCAGGGGGTTGGCTGTCCTAATGTGAGCACGGCTGCCCCCTAGAGCCCAACTTAGGAACTGTAAGAGGTTGGTTGTCCTAATGTAAGCACTGCTGCCCCCTAGAGCCCGTCTTAGGAATTACAGGGAGTTGGCTGTCATAACATGGGCACTGCTGCCCTCTACAGCCCGTCTTAGGAACTGTAGGGGGTTGGTGGTTATGATGTGTGGGGAACTCCTGGATTCAGAGACTGGGTGGTTGGGGACCTCTCTTGTCCCACCAAAAGCTGTCCTGCATCCCACCTGACCTCTGAACATCCCGTTTGCCGTCCTTGTCACTGAAATACTGGTTTCAGTAATTCCCACCTACTTCACCTACAAACAGAACGGGTTTTGTGCTTGGTTTCACACACAATGGACTTTTCCGGAGGGCAGCCACTGTGTAATCCAAGTTCTTGGTTTTGTCCTGAACTTTATCAAGATGGGTCACCGATTGGGAACAATATCGTCTCCGAGAGCTAAGCCGTGTGTGGTGTTTGAGTCAAACTGCAGCAGGCCGTCCTCAGGCCATGTCTGTAGCTGCTGCCCTCATGGTGATGTTATGTACCAGTGCACATGCCCGGCCAGCTACGTCTTCAACTGCTCATTTGAGACCAGTTTCCACTATCTATGGACTGAAATCCATCTCGGTTTAGCTTCCCTCACGCTGTGCCAGGCCCTGTTCCAAACACTGTACGAAAATTAACTCATTAAATCTGCAGCACGTCTCAATGAACTAGGTCTTGTCTTACCCCCACGTTAAACTAAAAAACTCACTGCCGTTGAGTCAATCCTGACTCACAGCGACCCCTCCTTGGGTTTCTGAAGTGGTATCACTATGGAAGTAGATTGCCCAGTCTTCCTTCCGAGAAATGGCTGGTGGGTTTAAACTGCTAACCTTCTGGTTAGCAGTCAAATGCCTTAGGCACTACACCACCAGAGCTCCCATGTTACAGATGAGGAAATGAGGCCTATACAGGTAATCAACTCACCCAAGATCTCCCAGCTGGTACACCACAGAGCTGGGATTCAAACCCAGGCAGTCTGATCCCAGAGTCTGTGGTCTTAACTTCTGTTCTTTCCTTTCCCTCTTCTTTTTAGCAAAAATTTTTAATGTGAATATGTCCAAATTACACACCCACGGGAAAGTCACAAATCCTAGCAGCCAGGTCAATGACATTTTGCAAGCAGACATGCTTGTGGACTCGGCCTCTCAGAAGCCCCCTCCGGCCACCTGACGGAACATGGATGGATTTCACCAAAACAACTTTGGGTGGAAGAAGCCAGCCTGAGATGGTACACACTGATTCTATTCATACCATCTTCAAGAACAGGCAAAATGATGCTGTTAGAAG